TTCGCAAAAATTCGAGACGCTTCGTATTGAATACATTTGATAAGGTGAGATTTACCGGTACCAGCTGAACCAGTAACAAAGATACTAAATGGATCGCGGTTTATACCATTAACTTTGTCCAGACAATACTGGCAAACGTCATAAAAAACCTGAGACTGTATTTCATTCAGGGATCTAAGTAAGGGAATAGCATCACTTTTCGAAATAGTGCTTATATTAGTTTCAGTGCGAACTCTGCTACTTTGACCTTTATCATATAAAATGTCGGGAATTTGACGTGTATTGTCATCGTCATTTTGCAAAGGTCGTGAAAATTCGAACAGGTAAATGTAGTGAAAATTCACAGCTCTAAATGAGCGTTTGTTTAAATATCGTAAGTGAAAATATAGCACAACTCGAAAAAGCATGTGAATTATTATGGAGCTAAAAGATTATGTAGTCAGACTAATTTATTTATGACCTATAATAAGCTTAACAGACGACAATAATTTGCTTTCATCCCTCAGCATAACACCAATAACCAAAAATTGATGTATAATGTATCTTGCAGATAGAGTTCTATTAATGGTACAGACAAACAATAATGTTTTTAATGTATCAAAAAGTCACTGCTCTAAATAAGTGTATGTTTTATTATCATAAAGGGAAATTTTGCAAAAAATTAAAAAAAAAGTGAATTATTATAGAGTTGAAAGATAGTGTAATTAGATTAATTTATTTATGACCTATAATAATCTTAGCAGAAGATAAAATTGCCACTTTCTTTTTATTGCTAAGGATTAGCGCCGTCGGAAGCCAGTTGAATTGGAGCCTGCTAGGCGATTAAGTGCTGTGGGTTAGAATCCCTCTCTGTATTCTGATTCCACGGTCAGTGTTTGCTAGAGACAGCCCGCTGTTTGCTTTTATTCCCTCAGCCTAACTAACACCAATAACCAAAACTGTTGTGTGTATCTTGCAGATAGAGTTCATTAATGGTACAGAAAAAAAAAACAGGTTAATGTATCAAAAATCACTACTCTATATGAGTGTATGTTAAATTATTGTAAGTGAAAATTGAAAAAAAAAGTTATTTTTTTAAGTGTTAAAAGATTACATAATCACAATTTTAATCACATTTTTTTTATCAACATTTAACACTTTTATGTCTATTTTCACAAATTCAATTTTGTATTAAACCACCCATGTCGCATATCGTTGAAAAGAGAAAATTGAGTAGATCCTGAATATACAAACCATATTGCTAGGAGTTCATTACATTGTAAGTTAGAACCCTCAGTCAAAAAAAACCCAATATTTTTAAAAGATCTTTTAATCATTGAAAAGATAATCAAAAGGGAATTACAAAATTGGAAAAAATAATTTTCTGTGTTTATTAGAAAAAGGTCATACAGCCGTCCACAGTTGTAAAAAATGTTAATTTTTGAATGACTATTAAACCGGAAGTTAATATTTTTCAACCAATATGAGTACACCTGTGGATAGCTGAGGTCAAGAACATCCTACAGTGAAATTTTCAAGGTCATCGAAGGTCTAGGTCACATGGTGTGGCCTTTTGAATTTTCAAAAAATTCAAACGAATATAAAAAAAATTCAAATTCGAAATTTAAAATTCTGTTCCAACAAACTGTAGACAAGGTTACAAGGTTTTAGTAGACACCAATATCATAAAAATCGGATAAAAATGGAGGACTAATTAATTTTTTGCTAAAATGATTTTTTTTAGCCTCACCAGATACGGCTCATAACAATGAAAATTTCAGGTAAATCGGTTCATAAATAAGCCCTACAGACTTGATGCAAAATATTTGCACATTATGCAATGGCACACTTCCGGTTTAGCAAAAATTGAGTTTTAGATATTCATTTTTGATTCCAGGTCATTTAAAAATGTTTGGTGAAGACAATTATGCTATACCATTTTCGATTTTGACTAGGGACGTTCCCAAAAAAAAAAAAATAAACATAACGAAAACAAAGCGTGTCAAATCGATAGATTTGCCACGCAATCAGAACATTTCTCTGTTTTATTATGTTGTCGAGTAAAAGTGCGAAATGTACTACAAAGTTCAATATTCGATCAAAACGACATCTTTCATACTTGAACAGGGTAAGCTTTACATACGCGCTTCTTCTCTTTGTTAATTGCTAGGTTATAAGTATAAGATTTATCTTTGCGTTTTTTCTCGATGTTTTTGCGACTTCGATGACGACTAACTTCTTTTTCAGTTACCATGGACACTATAAATTCCTTTTGCTGGGCGGCATTTGCAAGGAAATAATACTCACTGTAAAGTTGTGAGCACACTTCAAGCGGCATCCAGTTCGAAAACACTTTGCCACTAAGGGTTTCCTTTCGGAAACTAACTTTCCTTTTCTCGTAACATACTCGGTTCCAGCACTCCTACTCTGCTTACGAATATTGCGTTTCCACAAATTAGATTGACGTTTTCGTTTTCTTCCACGGGTTGGTTCATTATCAGCAGTATGATCAGGAACTGCTACACCATCTCTAACAGGGTCTGCAATAACATCGATAACAGGAATAACATCAACAGGTTGACTGGAAACATCCACATCAGTAACATTAGGGACCAGAATGACATGATCTGAAACAACAGGGATGGCAACATCAGCTACGAAAGGACCAGGGATAGCATCAAGAACATCAGGACCATCAACATTTGGATCGTTTCTTGTTGGTTCGTCAATGTCATTGTCATCTGAATAACTCATTGAATCGCTTTCAGGTTGATAATCTGGATCATCAGGCTCCACGTCAGATTCATCACTATTGGTATTACTATCGGTATCACCCTGCTCTTGACTTGACCGAATTTCTTCACACCTCTTAACAATAGATTGGATTGCACTGCTACCATCGTTTCCTTCGAGTTCTATAACCCCATCATCATCAGGTGAATCTTCTACTAATGTTTCACTTATGCAGGCTGCCTCAACATCTAATGTCCTTTTAAATCGATTAAGTCCCATGATCCCCTGAAAAACGAATAGTTTTGAGATTTTACTATAGTTTTGTGTCTTAGATTAGACAGTTTACAGGTCCAAGAAAAGGAAAAGTGTGGCCATGCCCGGTCTTAAATGAAAGCTCTCAATAAATAATTTGCAGTCATTAGTTAGCCTTAATAATCACTCAGAACCTTAGTAAAAGTACATAATCCGGACATGTCACAATTGTGCTCCAAACAATACAGTATACAGCTGGATAGCAAATATCACATGTCCGGACATATCACTTTTGAGCACCAAGTGATCCTGTTTTGGAGGACATGGCACATATGAAAATTGTACTTTTCTACTCAAACAAAGCAGGTTTGAGATATAAGATTTGTGCCCCAAGATAGAGTGTTTTAAATGGCGCATATTGGTAAAAAAAAACTGAAATTTGAAATTTTGGACATATCACATTTGTGTTCTATACCCTCGATTTATTCATACTTTTTGTCTAAAACTCAGTATGATGATTAGAATTGATAAGGTCTTGAACAATTTGAAGTTTTTTTTTGATAAATAATATATTACTTGATTTTAGTGAAATTTGCTGCAAAGAAAAAAAAAACCATAAACTACATCCAAATAAAAGTTTGGTTGCCGCAAAAAAACTACTATGGGGTATATGAACTACTAACGAGGAAGTATTACATATGTATGTGAAAAGTGGTAGCAGACCATAGTCGATTGACGATCTATTCAGGGAATCTTCAATACAGTCAGTCTGCATTTGCATGTGTTGGTAAACAAGGGTTATCTCTACAATGTCAACCCGCAGAATTTTTTTCAATCGTTTCAATCTTTTTATTATTCATTTCTAACATATAAAAAATGGTGGATTTCAGTTATTACGATTATTATTTTATCCTTATAACCCCAATCTGTCGTCGGAAATCTAAGTGTGACTAAGTCAAGTGACCAGCCCAGCGGATTCCCTGGCAGCAGAAACAATGTGTAAAACACAATGTAAATTGTAAGCAATAAATTACGTTTAAGTCCTCTATAGTTTCAGTCACTTGAAATTGCAAATCATTGATCTTCGAAAGGACTGTCATCAGTTAAAATGAATTGATGTAATCAACAAAATATTATTATACCACTGGGTACACACGAGGCCTGTTTTTCTCGGCTTATTTATAGATCAAACATTTTACGCAATCAAAGGAGATGCATTATGCAGCCGTTATCAAATTTTTACCCATGAAACTTATGAAATTATTTAATTGAATTTAATGCAAAAGTTTTTCAATTTTTTTTTGACGAAATTATAAAACCTTATGTACACAAATATAAGTTCAACTACTGTATATATATAGTGGTAGTTTGAATATCATACTGATCACAATATTAGTAAGTGGCGATACTCCCAGTGGTAGCGATGATTATCATACTGATCACAATATTAGTAAGTGGCGATACTCACGGTGTTAATAATGATTATCATGGTGATCACGATATTAGTAAGCGACGATACTCCCAGTGGTAGCGATGATTATCATACTGATCACAATATTAGTAAGTGGCGATACCCGCGGTGGTATTAATGATTATCATAGTGATCACAATATTAGCAAGTGATGATACTCACGATGATGGTTATGATTATCATAGTGATCACGATATATGTAAGTGACGATACTCGCGGGGTTGATGATGATTATCATTTTGATCACGATATTAGTAATTGACGACACTCGTGGTAATGGTAATAATTACCATGGTGATCGCGATATTAGTAAGTAACGATACTCGTGGTGGTGTTAATAATTATGACGGTGATCACGATATAAGTAAGTAACGATACTCGCGGTGGTGGTAATGCTTATTAGTAATTGACGATACTTGTGGTGATGGTAATGATTATCATAGTTATCACGATATTAGTAAGTGATAATATTCGCGGGTGTAGTAATGATTATCATGGTGATCACGATTCAG